GATCTAAATCCAGTTTTGAAAAGAAGCTAAGGCGTAGATGTTTGCACGTCCCTCAGTTCACTTGCGGAAATCCTAACCCCCAAGGTAACGACAATAGAAGGGGGGGGCTTTGGTGGTTATGTCATGAGGCTGGAGCCTCATAAATGGGGCTAGCGCCCTTAGAAACGGGGCCGCAGAGAGCCCTCGAGCTCTTTTCGCCATGTGAGAACACAGCAGCAGCATTTGGAAACCAGAAACCAGCTCCTCCACAGACTGAATCTGCCCGCAGCTTGATCTGGGACTCGGGAATTGTGAGGAGCAAAGGTCTGTACCCGGCGCATGGGATTTCAGCAGCCTGAGCGGACTCGGGCGGGCAGACGACATTACAAGATATTCCAAAACTTGTACACCAGGAACAGCCCCTTGGATGTAACTAAGCCCTTACAAATGCACATCGCTGACATTTTCTCATCCCAAACGTTCTCCAGGCTCCCTTCCAGGAGAAGGGGAGGACATTTCTTAGCAGGCAAGAGTGTCAGGACAGCGCTGGATGGATTTCCCAGTCACGTGGCCAGAGCAAGGGGGCGATGCCTTCAGAAGTTGGAAAATGATTTCCCAGCCCAGGACTTGAGTGCCAGCCAAACCACACATCAAGGAGACAAAATGAAGACCTTTTCAACCACACAAGGTCCCACATTGACCTTCCACGGGTGTTTCCTAAGAAGCTCCCGAAGGACGCGCTCAGCAAAGCGGGGCGGCCAGAGAGGAAGGTGGGCCTCTCCAGAGGGCGCGGGGCAGGGCCCGCACGAAGACCTCGCTCGCGGCTGCCCGGCCGGCCAGCCCAGGCCCTGGGAACACCTCTGCAGGAAGAGGAGGCTGGCAACAAGCTGTGCGTTTGAACACACTGAAAGGAAGGAGACCGTGTACCTGAGGAAGTCTCTGCCGCAGCCATTCGTCCTCTCGGCGCTGTCCTCTGACGCTGAGCGCCGCCGCCTTCTAGCCCCAGGCTCTCTGCTCAGGTGTGCACACTTACGCATGCTCGCACCCATGCCCCAGGTGTCCACAATCAGGCACGCGTGCGCCCCCACTCCCAAGCGCCTCTGCGTTAACGTGATCCAGGCCGCAGGTGACGGCCACAGAGGCTAGTGGTGCAAAAGGCCTGATTAACTTCCCCTACAGGAGGATGAAGAAACAGAAAGGGAGCATGGGGGGCGGGGTGGGGGAGGCTGGGGGGAGTGCATACAAGCTTGGGGGGGTGGGAGATGAGAGGCCACTGAAGCCTCATGTTCAGAATGAAATCAATACCGACAGAAACAGAAAGCGCCGAGGAGCAGCACGATACTGACTGTACATGAGCTGGTGTCTTGTTAAGGCCAGGCTCCCCGGTGAGGTCACTGTATTATGGGGAACTGACGTGATGTCTGCCTCTCACTCTCAAACAGCTGAGAGGGAGGCAGGGAGGAGGGTGGAGGAGGACAGAAGAGATCACTTTCCTGGGCCCGCACATCACCTCCACGAGCAGGTCCCCCTCACAGCCTCACAGAAGGGATCCGTCTCTTAAGGTAAGAATTTCCGATAGCATCTTGGAGACAGAGATTGGTGTTGGTGATGGTTTAACCTAGATTGGACACAGCCTAGGAAGATCACCTGTTGCTGCTGAGGTTTCATTTGTCTTCTGAATGCATATGCCAGGCATCAACACGGAAAACCCAGGTAAGTCGCCCAATTTCCCAGAAGTCAGTGGAGCTCATGACTTTCTTGGAAATATGGAGAGTTGGCCACGGCTCCAGCCTGCTGGGATAAGTGAGGAAACCCAGGAAAGCTCTTTCTGCACGTTCTTTTCTCATGAGAGCCGCGATTTTAACAGGAAACAATAAATATCTTTTCTAAGTTAGAAAATCTGCGATCCTGCAGGGGCAGCAGGAGGTCAGTGTGGCTGGTGGGGAATGAGAAAGGGAAAAGCTGTAGAAAATGAACTCAGAGGTGCGGGCTGTGGGGGAAGGAGGTGTCTGCAAGCTCCACTTTCACCCATGTGAAAAGGGAAATGAGTGGCGCTCCCCTGGCTGAGAGGTCAGGCCTCACCCCAGCGGGCGAAGGAGGGCTGATAATGAGGGAGGGATCCTGTCCACGCTGATCCTCCATGTGGCCGTGCTGATTTAGGGTGTCCTCCAGGGTAATAATCGCCCTTTGTTGACATGTTTTGGGGTGGAGATAAGGCAGAGAAAGGCCCTAGTGTCACAGAGCTTATCTCAGACACACTCTTACCCCAGGATACTCATGGATTTTCTTCGTGATAAGCACCTAATTGTCACGAGAAAGAGATACTGGAAAAAATAAGTGAAAAATGCTGTGGCGGGATCATGGCCCGACATGCTCTTTGTTCTGGATGGAGTGCGGACGCTTCCCAGAATCCTGTTTACTTGGAAAATCCTAACAATCACCGAAAGTCATCTTGTTTTTCTTAGGTATCCTGACTTCCCTCTGTCCTGAGAGCCGACGGATGCACTTTGGCTGATTAGGTTGGCCTGGACATCAGGAAAATTGAAAAAAGTAGCTGTGCATTCCTCCAGATTATGAACTACTCATTAAACATCTTTTTCAACAACTGATTTGTTCAAGCCACTGCCAAAGCACAAGGTCTTTCTTCAGCTCCCTTTTCCAACTACCACAGCCCATCCTGCCGTCCACCTCTGTGCTCACAAGGTGAGGGGGGAGGCCTCCGGCCCCTGAATAGATGCTTTGCCCCCCAGATGGCCAGGAGCCATGCAGGCTTGTCTCGTTCATGTGTTTACTTTTCCATATTTCGTTTTGGAGTGCCAAGCACCGGGGAGACGCCCGTACACAAGACGGGAGAGCTGAGTGGGGTCTACACTCTAGTAAGCCGACATGGGCTCTGTGAGGCCGTGAGTGCTGGGGTTGGGGGAGAAAGGAGGTGGAGGAGGTGGGGATTGAGTGGGCAAGAAAGGGCCTGAGTGAGGTGACCCCTGACAGGCATCCGGGCCTCTCAGGGTAGGTCTTTTCACGTCGAGAAAACACACAGGGATGGACACGCAGAGGTCTGGCTGTGGCTGTGGTGGGGCCGGGAGGACGATGCGGGAGCCAGGAAGGCGGGGAGGCGCATGGATAGGCCAGATGGATCCTTCTCAGCAGTGGCAGGACTTTGGCTTTTGTTCTAAGTGAGATGAAAGCCTTTGCAGCATTTTCAGAGGGGCGTCCTGGCTGCTCGGAGAAGACGGAACGCAGTGAGGTCACCACCTTAGTCATCCAGGCCGAAAAACGTGGAGGAAAGCTGCGCTCGGCCCCCGCTGTAGAAGGGCCAACAGGAGGCAGCTACGGGCGGAGAGGAGTCGGACAGCTGCTCACAGCAGACATTTTCTGAAGTGCATTTCACTTTATGACATTTTCATTGAAGAACTTTACTAATTGGAAGCTCTTCAGAAGCCTGGGCGGGAAGGGTCTTCCTTGGGAACTTCCGGTGACTGCTGGAGCTTATGCAAGGAGGGAAGTGTTCCCGTAAGCCCCACGCAATCTAGCAAAGCACCTACACGCGGCTGGTGGATGTAATTTGCTGCTTTTCACTCACTTCGGTTTTGAGGACACAACACAAGTGCCCGTGACGTGGACGGGACCCTGAGTGTGGGGGAGCCAGCGTGGGCCTCAGGGAAGCCTTTGCAAATAGCCATGGGTTGATGAGGAATTACACAGAGCTTAAATAAAAATCCATTCATTTGGAAATTTAAAAATTTACCAGTTACTATGTTACTGGCATCCTCATTGAAAAGGTAGTAGAAGAAACGGGTGGAATTAATTTTAATAACATTTTATTTCATTCAGCAGATCCCAAAGAGTGTCACCTCTGCACTCTTTCAATGTTTCCAAGGACTGCTGACATACCGCGCTTTCTTTTCACACTGAAATCCGGTGCATCCTTTACACGTACTCTATTTCTTCATTTGCATCCTATATTTTCAGTCCAAATATTTGCGCTGTGTTTAGCTTCCATAAAATTTACATTTGAAAGAGCCGACTCACATCCCACAGCGGTCGCAAGCTCTTAAAAGTTTGCAGGTAACTGAGTTGACACTCAAGATTTAAATTAATTGAAAATTTAAAAAATAAAACACTTCCTCATTGCTCACAGCCGTGGCCACCCCAACAGTGCTGACGGGCCCCAGGACCGTCTCTAATCTCTCCCCCAAACTATACAAGTTCCCGGTAGCTTACACCGCCCACTCTTCTCATCAACATTGTAGAATGAAATTTTTTCTTAGTTCTATGTTGTCATAACAGGCCGTGTTTTCCAGTTAACCTTAAACTGCATTCAGATGTGACGGAGAAATGCTCCCTGCTAAGTTACGACAGCACGAATCCTGAAATGGCCCAGTGGGCCACGCATCTTTACCCAGACTAGACAGTGCTAGAACGTTTCCACCCAACCTTACAACCAGTGTGAGAAAGGAGATCCCACTTTTTAGTATATGTGCTGCCGAAGCCAGCACCCCACTGCATTTTTAAAAAAGTAATGATTAAAGTGTCCCTTGACCACTTGCACAAGTGGAAGGATGCCTGAGAATCAAACGATAAAAGTACTTTCATGCCTGCGCGTTAGCTCTCCCACTAACCTCACCAACTCTGACAGGGCGTCACTTTAGAGAGTTAAAACTTAGTCTGCACTCTGCTCAGCTTAACAATGCTGGGAGACAAGATAGATAAGGAAGGGCCCCCCCAGGGTTGCCACGGGAACCTTGCCTTGGGCCCGCCTCACCCACAGGGGGCTGTGGGGATTCTGGGCAAACAGGGCCAAGGGAACCCAGCAGGACGCCTCCTGGGGGAAGGCCTGGTGTCGGGTAAGGTAAAAGTATCAGGCTTGGGCCTCCCCGGTGGCGCAGCGGTTGAGCGCTGGGTTGCGAAGCTGCCCGCAGCCTTTGCAGCGCCGGTTCGATCCCCGGCTGCTCCCCGGCCACCAGAGGAGGGTCCCACAGGGCGCGCAGACCTCTCCTGCCGCCCGCTGCTCCCCTCAGCAGTGTACTTCGGTCCTTCTGCCTGCTCTGCTCCCTGCTCTGGCTCTGGTGAGTTTTCTCACCCTCCCGTGCTTCTGACTGTACCCAGTGCTTGTATAAATAAATAAATAAATCTTTAAAAAAAAAAAAAAAAAAGTATCAGGCTTTTCTGCCCTCCCGCCATCAGGATAGAGGATGGAACCCTGCGGTCCTGAACGCATGCCTGATGGCGGGCACCTGGAGTAGGGTGTGGGCCTAGGTAGATGGGATTCACCTGGGCTGAGACTGGGCTTTTAAGGGCGGCGTCACGGGGACGCCAGCAGAGAAGCAGTAGAAGCTGAGAAGCAGAAAAGCAGAAGCAGAAGCACGAGAGAGCAGAGCAGCAATCACCAGAGAGCCCAGACAGAGTGAAGACTTGCTGGGGGCTGGGCAGCTTGCCAGCCTCCTGGCCCCCCAGCACCCTTACCTGCCCCGTACCCGGTAAATCCCAATAAAAGCCTGAAAAGCCGCCGAGGTCTCCAGGACTCTCTCCTCCTTTACCCCATCTGCATGGGATCACAGAAAACCTGCCCTGTGTCATTCCTGCCCTTACACCTGGAAAACCTGATGTCCCAGCAGAAAGTGTCCCCCAGTTGGACAGACCAACACCCCATCCTGAAAGCTCTCAAAAAAGGTTATAAAAGGGAGCCCCAAATCCTTCCCGCACAGACCTCTCCCTCTTGCCTCCTGCTCTCTTGCAGGATGCTCCAATAAACTGCCCTTCCTGTTCTCCATGCTCTCTGGTGAATTCTTCCACCACCACACCTTTGGTTTCACTGAGCTATTTCTCCCCACTACAATCGCCTTATAATTTTAGTGTTTAAAAAAAATGTTAAAAAAGAGGGTACTAGGCTGACAACTGCTATAGAATTTCTTAATTTAACTAAAACCCAGGTGACCCTTATTTAACAAAACCCATTGATCAAACAAGATGTTCAAATCTTTACTGAAAACAAGCAATTAATCCTGTCCTTAATCTGCTGTAAAGGCCGTGAGATTCAAAGGCTGGAGCCCCTGCAGCCCCCCAAGGGAAGCCGCGGGCGGCCTACATCTTGGGCCGCAGGCGCTGGGCCTGGTCCCGCAGCTCCATGGCGGCGATGGAGGACAGGTGCACCTCGTCGGGGCCGTCTGCCAGGCGCAGAGTCCGGGCGAGGGCATACCTGGGGAGAGAAGAGAGGCCGCCAAGAGGGAGTTGCTGGGGTTCTAAGCCAAGGCTGTTCATGTCTGAAATCTTGCCAAGGCCATGATGAGATCAGAGCACAGGGACAAAGCAGGAGAGCAGCCCAAGGGCTTTGCAATGCTGCGGTCAAATTCTCGCCTTGGGAATCGGACACCGAAACGGCAGCGCTCGGGGCTTAATCTGTCTTGATTTGCTGTGGGTTGGTTAGTAGAAGTGGCCAGAACTGAGATGTCTTAAGTAACCCAAAAAGTAAATACATGAAAATTACATACTATAAATAAATCCTAACTATATAATTAATTTTTCTCATGGTCAAAAATGGATGGGGGTGAGGATAGGGCACCAGAGTCTCTCTCCAGGATGATGGGCAATGCGGCGTGTTCCTTCCTGACCCCCAGCACCCGCGCCTGGACCTGAGCTGGGGCTGGCACACGTGGTGAGCTCAGCCCAGGCCTCCCCCTACACTGTCCAAGAGCACACCCAAGCCTGGCCACCTCTGCTCCCCCCCTCCCCTCCTTCCTGTTTCCAGTGACCTCCCAAGCTATTGCTACCCCCCAGAAAGCCTCTGTGTGTCCCCTCATGCAGAAGTTAACACGGTGGAGTAAAATGTGAACCGTTTCACGCTTCATGCAAGGACCGGTGAGCGCCGGGCTCCATGGCCCACAAGGCCCTGTCACTTCACTAGCCGTCAGCGATGCGCCAAGCAGCGCTACCATCTTTATTTTCCTCTTAATCAATTAGAGTCAAGCGTTTGTGGATCTTTAACTCTAAGTTTACTGAACTAGATGGCCTTAGATAACATCCACTCACATGTAAGCCAGAGGGTAGTCCTGGGAGATGCCCGCACCTCCGCACACCTGGATGGCCCGGTCAATGATGCCGCAGACGGCCCGCGGGGCGGCCACTTTAATCATTGCCACCTGCACACACGAGGCATGAGAAGAATGTTTCATCTTAGATAATGCAGTGGGGCAAAATTGGATAGAATCTCTATTTTCTTTGTGAAATGAAACAAGGGAACTTTCCAAAGTGCAATTCGCCACTGATACAGGACCTCTGATGACAGCCAACGGAGATATGGGCTGTGATGCAGTTTTCAGGGCCATATTTCAGCCAGTACAGACCTTCTGGGAAGAGGGTATCTTATCCAGATCATGCTTCAGTAATTTGTTTATAGCCTGCCTTGTTTTCAAAAGGACTGCAGGCAGCTGATAAAGCACATTTATCACCTTAGGAATCACCTAAAAGAGTTCACAGATCAGTATTGTCTTAGCAACTGTGTTGGCTTTTTGGATGAAAGCACATTCTTATTCCACGTCAGTGGCTGTGGATTAGAGATGCCTTGAAGCCCTCACCAGGTGGCCGCTGGCGCTACCTGCACCTTTGTGCTATCCAGAGCACTCTGCACTAGAACCCAGGCTGTGGGAAGAAAGGTTAGACGCTTTGCCCCAGGTCATAAGATGAGCAGGAAGTGACACACTGAGGGGGGATTCCAACTCTCATAGACTCTACGTAATCCCGACCCCTGCTGACGCATCTCAAAACACTCTAGATATTCTGTGGCCTGGAAATCATTCCCTAAACAGTCAGCGAGAGGAAAACCAGCAAGTGACAGATGCTTGGAACCACATCATTGGAAGCTCCCCATACTCTGGGTGCCATCAAGGCACCGTGAAACCAGAATGTGTAGGAGAAGTGGTGGAGGCTTGGCAGACAGGGGGACGAGGGGCCTCACCTCTTTCCTGGCGCCAGCGCTGCCCAGAGTGTCAATGTTGTGGGCAGCTTTCAAGGTCAGCAAGCGGATCTGCTCGATGGCAAGGCGGCTTTCTGCGATCCAGTGAGCCACAACCTCCTGCGGGAGAGCAGAGGGCACAGCGGGGAGAGGAGCTGTGGGTGGTATGCATGTCACCCAGCCTGTAGCCAGGCGTAGATGCTTTCTAGGCCAAGGATTGTTCCCAACCCTCACTACACATATTTTTGAATGGAAGAGTTCATTCCTTTGATACACACTAGCCAGTCACATACCCTAAGAACGCTGCCGTTGACGCTGGCAGATTTCAGGAGAAACCATGTTTGCTCAGACACACCATCTACTTTGGATCTTGCTGTCAAAAGTTCAGGTAGCTGAACTAAGCAAATGTCTTGCTACAACACTTCTCTGCTGGCCCTTCTGAACGCTAATGACTTCATCTCATTGAAACTTGGTTAAGTGTATGATGGTGGACCTGCTCATAAACAATCTAGAAAATTCCCAAGGCAATTTCAGTGTGGGGCCGGTGCAGCCGTCCTCACTGTTACGTTGTTGTTATTTCTTTAGTTGAAAAATGACCTTTTTCACAGACTGGTGAATGATTCTGTGAAATCTGACTGTCATGTCCACATCAAGATACAGGACAGTCCCCTCCCCATTAACCTGACCCTCTGTCATCACACCTCCCATGCCGACCCCCCAGCAACCACTGGCTGGGTCTCCAGCACGATGGCTTTGTCTTTCCCAGGATCTCCGATGTGGAGTCATACGCTGAGTTTTTCACTGACTGGCTTCTTTGACTCAGCATAATGCCTTGCGATTTCATCTAGATTTCCCTGCGCATCCACTGTCCAGCCATTTTTATCACTGAGAATCAGTCCATTGTAGGAGTATAGCATAGTCTGATTCTCTATATTCACTTGCCGAGGGACATTTTGGATTGCTTCCAGTTCAGAGTGATTATTAACAGAACTTGTGTAAATGTTTGCGCAACTTGTATAAATGTTTGCGCAATATTTACTTGTGTAAATGTTTGCATGTGGATTCTAGTATGAGCATACCTTGCATTTGTTGAAGCAGATGCCAGGCATAGAATTGTTAGGTCATGTGGCAAATGCTTATGAGAAGCTGTCTGTTTTCCAGAGCGCCTGCACCATTTTGCACGCCCTCAGCCGAGTAGGGGATCCCCGCTGCTCTCCAAGCCACCAACACTTGGGATTTAATCTTTTAATTTTAGCCATTTTGAAAAGGTTGCAGAGAGATCTCACCACGGTTTAAATATGAATTTCCCCTGTGGCAAGTGATGTTGCCCACTTTAATGTCTTACTCGCCATCTATATATTCTCTCTATATATACCATGTCTGTTGAAGGCATTTGCTTGCATTGGGTTTAGAGTGTTCTTATGCGGGATATAAGTCATTCATCAGACAGGCGATTTGCAAATATTTTCTCCCAGCCCCAGCCCACTGCTTTTTTCACTCTCTTAACAGAGACTTTTATAGAGCAAAAGCATTTAATTCTAATAAAGTCAAATATGCCATTTTTTTCTTCTATCGTGCATGTTTTGGGTGCCTAGGAACATTTTGCCCAATCCCAGGTCACAAAGACTCTCCCCTATGTTTTCTTCTAAAATGCTTATAGTTTTAGCTTTTACATGTAGACTTATCCATTAGGAGTTAAATTTCGTGTGAAGTGTGAGGTTTAGGTTAAAGTTCATTCTTGTGCCAGTGAATGTCCAATTGTTTCAACATTACTCATTGTAAAGACTACTATTTCCCCATTCGACTGCTTGGCACCCACAAAGAAAAGTCAGTTGCAAATATCTAATCTGTTGCAAAGTGCCATGTGTCTTTCCTTTGCTAATTCCACACTGTCTCTATTCTCAAAGCTTAGAGTATGTCTAAGACCAGGTAGTCCGATTCTTTCAACTTTAGTCTTACATTATACAATGTCGAGCAACCTGGAAGAGTTAGGTTAAAAAAGAGACACTGAAAAACACTATGGATAAAACAAAATGGAATTCTAAAATTGTTCAATTAACCCACAGGGAGGCAGAAAAAAAAAAAAAAGCAAAAACTAAGGAGGGAAAACAGACAGCAAAAAATAAAATGGCAGACTTAATCCTAATATAAATTATTATAAAGACCCAAAACGATGAATTAAAAAACATGACCCAATTATATGCCATCTAGAAGAAATTCCCTTCAAATGTGATGTAGACTAGGCAAAAAAGGGGGGAAAATATATGTTTGAAACACCAATCAAAGGAAAGTGGTAGCAATTATATCAATATTAGATAAAGGAGACCTCAGAGCCAAGAAAATTGCCAGAGACAGACGGGGTTATCATATAAAGACAAAAAGGCAAGTCTGTTAGATAGAGCAATCCTAAATGCGCTTGCATAGAACAAGAATTGTTGAATATGTAAAACAAAAACTGACACGAGAAGATTTACAGCACTAGACCCATGTGCTAGAAGCGAGGGGGAAAAAAACAATAACTCATGCAGAACCTAGGAAAAAAACAAAGTAAATCCAAAGAAAGCAAAAGAAAGAACCTAACTAAGCGGAAATCGACAAAATAGAAAACAAAAATAGAGAAAGTCAGTAAAATAAACATCTTGTTAATATTAAATTCTAACACATTATGATTCTATTGTACCTTTTCTATATTAAAAATTAATGTATATTCTTGAAAAAGACCAATAAAATCAACACACCTCCAGTAAGACTGATAAAGGACAAAGAAGGTGTGTCAACGAGGGACCGACGTCTGGAATGAAGCAGAGGATCACTGCAGAGCTGGGGACACCAGTCTGCGAACAGGACAAAGCCGAGGGCAGCAGGAAGAGGGCAGGGAGTGGGGCATCTCGAGACCAAAGGTCACTGAATCCCACCAGCCACCAAACATTCTAATTTAGCAGTGAAACCCAGGAGATATAACAAACGCTTCCTGTGGGCTGTGCTACATTTTTGGGGCTCCCCATCCTAAACAGAACTGGTGTTTACAATGGAGAATAAGATTTGTTAAGATAAATATGACCACCAGGCAATCCCAGCGCTTAGATTTGAGCCACACTGACCTTCCTTGGAATTTTTTTTTATACTTGGTCAGGCTGGTTCCCCAGCAGTGGGTATGTGGTCAGTTTCCCCAGCACAGAGAGGCTGCGGGAGGCACGTGGCCACTGAGCATTGAGACGTGCCCGGTCTGAGTGGCGATGTACAGACGCACACAGGCACTTTAGAACCAGTATCTTAAAAAGAAGGTAAATACCTTATTAATACTATTTTTAGAAGCTATCTTCTGTGCTTTATCTGGGAGACAGTGACACTGTTTGCTAAATTCTTAGTTGTGCTTACAAGTGCTGCCCCCCACCTTCTACTCTGAGAAAATGAAGCTTCTTATTCTTCCTTAGCATCCTGGACTGTGAAATTGGCAGTTATTAGGATTAGACACACACACACAGGTCGGGACTTTAAATGGCTGTTCCCATAATTTGACTTCTTTGTGCCTTTACATCCAGGGGCTCCAGCTCAGGTTGGTATCCTGGGATCCAGCGAGGCTCTGGCTCAAGTCCGTGGGCTGACGACAGTGCTGGGTGTGTGAGGCTCGAGTCACAAGTCAACACTAAGTGGCGTCCAAATTAGGAAGGCAAGGGTGTAGGCTGCCTGCTGTCCCTCAGGCCCTCCTCTCCAGCTGTCAAGGGTAGGTGCCAACAGGCAGGCTCCTCACTGGAGCCGCTCAGTCCCCTCTGAAATGCCCCGACCCCTCACCCCATCTGTCCATGCAGCAACAAGGCATGTGCATCAACGAGGCGCACAGCGTGGGTTTGTGAGCAAACAGTGAGGAGACGCCTCTAGAGAAACAGCCAAGCAGAGAGATGACGGATGCGGCATCTGGAGGCTGCGATGAGGTCTGCACAGCAGTGCACGGGGCCGCCACCCCTCCAACTGCTCTCACTTAAGACTTGCCTCACCCCTGCGCTAGTGACTGCTGGTGATCTCAAGGGTGTGAACAAGTCGTGCAGGGCACTCTCGGGCTAGGGGGCACTGACTTCGACATTCCCAGGGTGGCAGTGAGGGGACTATGGGGTCCACAGGCACCTCACTTTAGTGCTCATAGGCCCTCTTCCTTCTTGTGAGAATATTTTGATACTGATTACATGTTGAAATGATAACATTTTGGATCTAATGGATTAAGGTTTACTAAAATCAGTCTCATCTCCTTTGTACTTGGAAAAAAAACACAGCTGCTAAAACGTTTTCAATTACATTTGTGGCTCACCACGTGCTCCTATTGGCTCGCTCTGCCCTAATGATTAAGATGAGGCTCTGAATGAGCAACTTCGGGCAAGTGCCAGCAGTCATGAGAGTCTCTTGCTTTGATTGCTGTGAAAATGGGAAATTAATACTTCAAGAACAGACTCCAAAAGCACTGCTGTCTTTTTTAGCTTTATAATGAAGGACATTAGACCCCAGATTTGCTGGAAAGTATCCAGAAGCGAGAAACAGAGTGCCAGAAGGAGTTGCCAGATTTACTCTTAAGGCTGAACTTTAGAACTTTCTGCTTTCATCCCTGGAATAATTTAGAAGGTGGCCGGAAGGCGGCTCTAATTTCAGGGAAATGGAGCATTATTTTTATACACTGAAAAAGCAAAAGCATAAAAAGCTGGCCCCAGTATTTATGATGGGTACGCACATCTGCCTCTGCTAGATCATGCTCTCCGAGCCAGAGGCAAGAAGATTCCAGTGAAAGCAGGCATGGTTCTGAAAAGCCCAGGCTTGTTCTGCTTGGTACGTTAACACTTCACAAAGCAGGAGGGAGTTTCCCTCCAGCCCAGGGTGAGCACATCTCCAGGGAAAGTGGCCCTCCAGCAGGATGACAGGGACACCTGTCTCTCACCGGTGTGTCCTGGGCTTTCCTGCTCCAGGTCAGGATAGAAACTTAGAAAGACAACAGGGCAGAAGCAATGTGTGATGATGCCATGAGCAACTCTTGGGCTCCAGCTCGGGCAGCAGGTGGAGGGTATCTGTGGTCTGCCAAAGCTCGCTCCTCTCTCTTCCTCCCGTGGTGCCTGGGCCTGGCCAACAGCCCAGCCCCTGCCTTCACCTGTACTGTAAGTTTCCGCCAAAGAATCCTGGGCGTGGTGCCATGAAACAGTCTGTATTTTTCCATAAGAACAAAGGACATGGCAGGCCAGGTGGTCTAGAGAAGGGAGAAGAAATTGTCCACTCTGTGTGGGCTGAGGTGCCACTTCAGGAGTTACTTAACCTTTTAAGACATAAGTGAATATACATTGTGTCTATTACCTTGTTTATGCAGAGGACATCTTTCTGAATAAGAAACAATATTTTTGTTCAAGGTTAGTGTAGTGTATTGGGTTACCAGACAGTCCAATGGGTGATCGCCCTTACGTGTTCATAGAGTTTCTTCTTAAAGGCCACCCTCTGTGTGGTCCGCTCGCACATGATCTCCAAAGCGCGCTCGGCCAAACCCACTGCTCGCATACAGTGGTGGATTCTGCCAGGTCCTAGGCGGCCTTGGGCCATTTCAAACCCCCTGCCTTCACCTGTGAGAACGGAGAACAGGAGAGTGGCAACAGTCTGTTCTTTTCATTAGTGACACAAATCCTGGAGAAGGAATGAGTTGCCCTCAAGAAAAATGGTATTGTGGTGGGGAAAACTCAGATCTATAAAAAAGGTTCCTTATACACGTGTGGGATTTTTGATTTCCGTGTTCTTTAAGCCGCCATTATTAACCGTTTTGATCAAAGTTAAGAACTGTGTCTTGGGCACCTGCAGCGCAACAGCTAGCTGATGAGCAGGCAGTGGCGAAGGCAGAAGAGGCCCTTCCTCCACCATGCATTTGGAGTCTAGATGAGGAGGGGGGCAAGGGAGCCCGAGATAAGGGAGATGAGAGAGAAAAAGCAGGCAAAGGAGGGAGAAATAGTTCACACTGTCCCTCCAGGGCCTGGCAGGCACTGGGGCTTGGGAAGGGGCGGCAGGGAGGAACATGAAAATTCTCCTGCAGGAGGTGGCATTTGAGACATTCTCTGAAGCCTGGGAGGGATTCCAGTAAGTAAGAGGGTGAAGTCATTCCAGGCACAGTGCTCAATGTTATTCATGCTTCCATTGTGTGCAGAAGACTTGAATTCAGAAAGTACTGAATTTTTGTCTGAAGACAACCAGAGGCGTGAAGTTCACCTTTTAGAAAACAGCATGTCATCCTAGTTGTATTACTGTTGTATTTAGCTATGTTTTCAGTTGATGTGATACAGAAAACCTAGCTAACGCTGAGATAAAATCTTATTCTATTTAAGAAAATCCTCAAAATTTCCCTTATAAGTGGAGTAAAGGGGAAAGTATCTAAATTGAGGGAGACTGCCCATCTTTCCCAGATTTAGACCTGACAATATTTTTAATACACAGTTCTGGAGAGTAGCTTTTCCAAAGTACCTCACCTAGTATTAAATTGGTGGCAGGAACTCGCACATGATTAAAATGGATCTCAAAATGTCCTCCATGAAAATTATCTATAAAATAGAAAACAAAATTGTCAAGACCAACAGGAATTGACCAAAAAACAGTCGCATATAATCAATCCACTGAAGTATAATCACTCAGCCCCCTTGTCACAGACATTCCTGGGTAGACCCAAAGCCAGAAAACTCATCAACAATTCAACTTAGAAGAGATTTTTTGGAAGTCACTGGACAAGGGGTTACCAAACTCATTTCTGAAGTTGAAGAGGGAAGTGGGCTTTGCAGCGCCAGGCAGACTATTTTATTATTATCTTATTACTGCTGCTTCTTTAATGTTTTCTATAGGTGGGCTTGCAAGGAAAACTGTGCTTGGAAAAAACTGAAAGTGAGTCACTTGAGACCAAGCAGACGCCCGGCCTTCACCGTTTGCTCCCGGTCTGGGTGGGTTCCTGCAAGGCCTGGCATTTGGCTGAGGCCAGAAACACATTCCACTTCTGTCTTTGCATACCCCTCCTTCCTGCCAAGTCCTGGAGATAATCTCATGCTAACTCCACACCCTTTTCCTGTCAGAATACACATTAATAACCAGCCTTCACCACAGTTTCTTTTGGCCTTGAACATGGGGAATTGGCAAGGTGCTGGAGAACTTGTCATTCTGAAAATTCAAACATCAGGTTTGTAATGCAGGGTCTTTGCAGTGAAACTATATTTTAAATCCACTTTGAGAGTCTTTAAGGCCACTGTTCTCTGCAACCCAACAAATTCCCAAGTACCATTTGCTCCAGTGAGTTCATCTCCATTCTGCCAACAACACTGAACCTGTGGTCTATTCTACAGCTGCGCCCTAACTGGGGGGTGGGGGGAGGGAGGGGAAAGCAGGGGCGGGGGCGCCCCCTGGGGGGGTGCTGGTGAGGATGGACAGCCCCAGGCAAAATATGAATAACGTATCCGTGGGTGTGGAGACTCTGATGGGGAATATAAGGGGCTGCAGAAGGAGCCCCCAGGGGTTCAGCGTTGGGGATTTCAGCGTTTTCAGATCTTCAGCAATTCCAGGGTCAGCCCTTTCTGCCCCAACCGACCGTGCTGATCTTCCAGAGGCTGTTAAGGGTCTCTGAAGGACATGGAGAGGCCTCTGGCAGCCAACCTCAGAGAGGAAAAGTTTGGAGACTTTGCAGGTAGCCAAGAGACTGAAACTGTTCCCAGCTTTGCTGCTATTACAGCCTGGAAGGAACAGGCGAAGAGTGGGAGCCAGGCGCCTCACTGAGCTGCGTGAGTGTAGCTGTTTGTCTGCTGCAGCTGCTGTCTTGAGTTTCCTGTGAGCAACAGGAGATGCTCACAGGAGCTGCCGAGATACCCCAGCGCAGCACCAGACAATAGACACTCAAAACAGCAGCTGCAGCAGCTCTCTGTTGACTCATTGGCATGTCTGTAGTTGCTACCTGTCTCATCCCCCCCACATGCAGGTTCCATGAAGACAGAGCTCTTGGCCTGTGGTCTTCACACATGCATTCTACAGCCTAGGACACTGGAGCTGAGTGGATGACGTGAGTAGCAGGGAGACGACAGGAAGAAAATGAGGAGGGGTCAAGACACAAAAGCAGAGTTGCATCCAAGAAATTCCGCCCACAGAGAGAGGAAGAAAAAGCTTTCCTTCAAATCAGTCAAAGCTCATGCTTATTAGTAGTTCATGTATGTCGATTGGCTAGGAAAGCTAAACTTGAAAGAAAGATAAATTTTATTGTGGATGGCCTAGCTTTATCTATTTTTTTTTTTAAAGATTTATATATTTATGCATACAAGAACTGGGGAGGTGAGAGGATTCACCAGAGACAGAGTGTGGAACAGAACAGGCAGATTGACTGAAATACACTGCTGAGAGGAGCAGCAGGCCAGTCAGGAGAGGTCTGCCGTGCCATGTGGGTAGCTCTCTCGCTGGGGATTGAACTCGTGCTGCAGTGGCTGCGGATAGCTTCATAGGTTGCGTCTTAACCCCTTGCACCACCTATCTATATCTATTTCATTGATCCATTCCCACAGATGACAGTGAGAAAACCAGCTGTCAGAGCTGCTGTTCCTTGAATACAATCTGCTCTTTCCCCAAAGTAAATAAAACAAGGTAGGATGCTGCATTAATTACTCTATGCTGAGCTCTGCTGAAATTTAACTGAGATGGTTGTCAGGGCCAAAGGATGTCTAAGAAAACATCTCCCACATTAGCATGTTATTATAGCTATTCCCTTCTGTGTGATGGCAGATTCTAGGTTCCCGCTGGCTAATGCATGTGCAACTTGATTGAGTACTTACCCATGTAGCCAAAAATTGACAAAGGTCTTACAAGTTTTATTCCAGGTGTATTTCTCGGAACAAGAATCATGCTGTGTTGTTTGTGTCTGGACAAAAGAAAGCAGATGTTAGCAAACATTCGCTGAGTGGAAAAAGAAAACAGATGTTAGGCTAGGCCACAATTGTCATGTCCATTGCTGTTGTCATGTCGTCACATAAGCAGTAATGTCTGCAACGAGAATGGAGTAAATGACCTATGCTGAGCATTCAGAGGTGGGCTGTGATCTGGCACAAGAACAACTGTTTGAAAATCAGTGACCATGGCTTGTGAGTGCTCCACGGTGGGAACTGGGAACTGATGCCTGTTAGCAAACTTGCCAAGATGTCTGCCTCTGATCCACACACCTGACCACTTAATTACTTGCAGAGAGTTCTGAGAAGTTTTGTATGTTGTCTAATCTGAACCAAACAGCTTTGAGGATTCAGCAACACTCTCTTAATCCCATAGTGAGGAATGCACAGCCAACCTCCTTAAAATGTCTCCTAAATACATCTTTCAGCAAAATAATTGTGAAACATAAATATGTGACATTTAACTTCATAATATATTATTTTTAGTGCTCAGATTTGTAAGTCATGGACTTTAAGTAAATTGAGTGAATCAGATGACTGGTGTTTGTTCCCCCGTAGAGTCTTCAGTCACAGTTGTTTGATTACCTGCTGGCAGAGGTGTTCTCAGTTCTTCCCAAAACAATGAATATTTTGCACTTTGGATTCCCAGCTCCTAAAACCAAGGGAAAAAAACAAGGGAATACATCACAAAAGGAAATTTTTCAGACATTTCACCCTAAAGGTCCTACTATGTCTATGTTTATCCCTGGTTAAAAAAAACAATTAGAATAATTAGCCTGAAAATTTATTAAATTTTTTTCTTAGGCACAAAACTATACATCACCTCTCCTCCCCTGAAAATAGATTAGGCAAGGCCAAGAACAAACTCTATCAATGATCGCTGTTGCACAAAAATAGCCACAGGCTAGGAAGGCAAGAAACAGTTGCAACCTTTAAGTTTAACAAAGGACAGCTCTCCCCATTCACACCACTTCAGATGTCAGCACGCCAAAAAGGTTGTGAAATTCTCCTAGAGTGTTTCCTCCTGTTTAGAGCTCATCTTTCTCACACATGGCCAAGAAAGTATTGAAACATGTATGTTCTTAACTTTCTGACCTGTGGTTGAGAAAAACCTAATTTCCCCCGCTATGGAGTTAGGGGAGTAAGATGGTTTACTCAGAGCTGCCCACCTTCAGGAAGCCTAATTTCTCATTTATTATTTTATTAAGAATTAGATATTTTAAAATTTAAAGCTATTCTCCTATTAATGCAAACTCTCCATTTTATAGTTCAGAGGTCGATGGCAATTTCCCAGTGGGACCTTCTTGCAAACAGTGCATCTCATTTTCACCAGAAGGTCTGAGGACTGGCTCCTCAGGACACAACCACTTAACTGTCTTTTCAATTAAAAGGCCACAGGCAACTGGGTCAGACTAAGTTAAACACCGCTGTACAAAGTCGAGTAAATTCCTTTTTTCTAAATTCTTACAAAAAGTGGTTTCAGGGTCTCCCTGGTGGCGCAGGCGGTTGAGCAGCCTCTGCAGCGCGGGTTCGAACCCGGCTGGCGAGAATCCCACATGGAGAGGCAGACCTCTCCCATCTTGCCTACTGCTCCCCTCTGCCTGTTCTGTTCCCCGCGCTGTCTCTGGTGAATCCTCTCACCCTTCCGCACATCTGGCCTGAACCCCGGTTCTTGTATAAATAAATAAATCTTAAAAAAAAAAAAAAGTGGTTTCAACAGGTCTGAAATCATCTGAGGAGTCAATAAGAAATGTTAGGAATTATGGCAAATAGTTGAATAATGCCAGAAGCAAGAAGGATCAACTCCACGGAACAACCAAAAGGCATTTCAGGGATTTCCAAAGAGCCTTTACTGAAAAACAGACTTAATATTTGTGAAGAAAATGGTGTAATATTGGGATTTTTTAAAATGATATGGAGAAAGAAGGAAATAGATCTAAGAATAAAGCTAGAGGACCAAGAATCGGAAGTTAGAGACTCACAGGACTCCGAGTACTTGTGAGCAGTGTAACTGTGCTGCAGGTATGTGAAGAGGAAACACAAGTGGCTTACTGAGATGTGCGGAAACAGCTCCCCTAACAGTGAACACGGGAGGGAAGGAGGCCCGGACTCAGGAAAGAAACACTTTGATTCCACAGACTGAAAGGAGACTGGGAAGAGGAACTTGTAAAGGGCAGAGTTGTGAGAAAGAGACCAAGGCAAGCAGAGGGAAAGCAGCAGAAGAAAGAAAGCAACTGAAGAGTAAGGTGAGACAGAAGGGTCTACTTTGAACATTAGCACTTATATTTGAAAATCTGAAACTCCTTACAGATGAATCTCTAGCTCTGTAGAAAGAACACAGAAGGAGGATGTAATGCTTTTAGCCTAACAGAGGAAACTATACAATGGAAACAATCTAGAGTTTCCCAGAATTTACAATGAAAAATGAATGAGCAGCTTTTCTAAAACCAAGCTGGGGAGATTCAAGATGGCGGAAATACGTGTGTCCCCCACCACTCCTGAGATCCCACTGGAATAAAAATACAGAAGCATAATGAAGGTGTAAGACCACAACAGAAGAGGAAGTGGAGGAGGTGAGGCACAGGCCTGGGAGTGCCAGCCACCAACAGACCAGAGAAATCGGTGGAGGGGAAGTAACCCATGGAGTGGGAAGAGAAGTCAGAGTCCAGAAAAGGAAAGAAGGGGCTGCAAAGGGAGAGGGCTCTGACCCCCGAATGAGAAGGGAGGACTGAGAAGTGAGGCTCCAAAAGGGGGGTTCATCCAGGACTTGTAAACAGACCAGCTGGCACTGTCCACACAGGTATCTGTCACTCAGCCTCAAGAGGAAACATGGCCAGTGTGACACAAAACTAAATAGTTGTTCTGAGACGAGGGGCGTTCAGCCTGAGACCAAGCTTCCCATCAGCTGACTAAAGTGAGAACTTTCTTTCCCACTCAGGAAAGAAAAATAGCTGGAGAAAAGCTCTGTGTTAATAACAAATAACCTCAACCAGCTCCCCTTCCCTTTGGCTTCAGGATGGGAGGAAAAGCAGGGATCTGCTATTTGTGAAGAGTCTGCAGCATGAAGGAGAATCATTGGCCCAAACAGATAAACTGCAAAACTGACCAAAGGGGGAGAAAACAACAACAAGAAACAAAGAGGGGGCCTTCCTGGTGGTGCAAGGGGTCGGGCGCAGCACTGCGAAGCTGTTCGCAGCCTCTGCAGCACGAGTTCGAGCCCCAGCCGGCCAGGGAGCTACCCACATGGCACAGCAGACCTCTCTTGTCTCACCCGCTGCTCCCCTCAGCAGTGTATTTCAGTCAGTCTGCCCGTTCTGTTCCCCGCTCTGTCTCTGGTGAGTCCTCTCACCCTCCCCAACCTCTGGCCTGTACCCCAGTTCTTGTAAGCATAAATATATCTTTAAAAAAAAAAAAGAAACAAAGAGGACCTTTAAAAACTGAGCTAAGTCAAACAACAAAACCACTGAATGAATTCTGAGAGCTCTAAATGAATTGCATCCATAAAACCATAAAAGGAGACTATGAACAACCTGAGAACAACAAATGAGAACCCTTAGTAACACAGCTGCTAAAACAACCTTTAACAGAAGCACTAAAAGTGACGTGAAGAAAATTTCCCCTCATTTCCACAGGGAAAAGTCAGAAACTGAAAACAGCAGAACAAAGATAAGAAGACCAATACTGGGGGGAAAGGCACTCACCGCAGAGAAAAATGAAAGCGATAAAAATGAAGGGAACAATTTATCAAAGAACTTGGAGTAGAAAGCCACAGGGATTACACTTGCATCGATTCATCACCAGCAGGGGATGCGGGACGACAGGACAGAGTTGAACTTCGAAGTCCTACCCCACCCCAAATACCAATTACTATGAAGGCAAAATAAATACATATTCAGACATGTAAGACCTCAGAGAACTTACCAACTATGCATGTTTTTCTCAAGAAGAATGCACTCAAACAAAATAAAGGAATAAATCAAGAAAAAAGGGAGCCAAATGATCCAGAAGGTTGTGGATCCCAGGAAAGGGACGTATGGGAATTCCAGGGTAACTGCACTGAACTTTGCCTCACAGGTAAATCAGTTCATTTATGATTCTGTCTATAACTAGAAAGGGAGGGAGAAGCCTTTTAAGTAACTGGAATAGGAAATTTAAAAAAAATGATTAGCCATTAGATGCCACACTGTACTCAAACAACAAATTTGCTAGGCAAAATTATCTAAAAAAAAAACAAAACATTTCCCCCCAAATCCATGATTGTTGTCTATATGGTGTATGAGACAAGGAGTAAAGTCATTTTTTCTACCCTTCTGGGGCATTTTGCAACACACTCTTATTACTGGATGCCACTGTTTCAAATAAAATAAAATGGGAAGTTATTCTATTGGAAAGGAATGAATTGGTTTTTCATTAAAGAAAAATTAAAGCATTTTCATAAATACAAAAGAACTGCAATGCTGTTTGTTGGAGACCCCTAAGGCATGCAGTGCTGAGACAAGGAAAACATCAAGGTTGTGGCTAGAAGACTGGTCATGACTAAAAGATCGATGAGCTCGGGTGGGAGGATGGGCCGGTGTACAGATGGGGATGCTCTTTCTTGTGCCTGCAGAACTATGTCTGGGGGACAATCTAGATTAGAAAAAGAAATAAAATCACCTGATGGCGCAGAACCTTGGCGTGAATGTGTGCCCGACAAGGCCAAATGCTAAGAGAATACTTCATTGTCCGGTAATTAACCTGAGGGAAGGGGCTGCTTGTATCAATAAAAACAAGTTGCACCAGGCTCTCGGGATGCTTCAGCAGGAATGAGAGGCCTCACGTCCCCTGGGTCCCGCTTCTCTTAAACTCTATTTTGTGTCTGTCATTTCTTTATTTCCTCGGCTCAATCAGATTCCTCTCTTAATCCTGTTTACCCGAGCTGGACTCCGACAGCTGTTCAAGCAGAACAGTTCACAATGTCTTGAAAAGTCCTTAGTCTGTGTCTTGACATGCGACAACAAAGGTCCCTAGTTCAAGTTAAATGTATTCATGTTATATCATTAATAAATGACAATTTTAGCATGATTAGAGTTTGTTATAGATATATTACATATATAAAGATCTTATTTTAGAGAATTTTGAGGTTACAGCAAAGTTGGGGGAAGGTACCGAGATTTCCCAGCCACCCACTGGCCACATCACGCATAACCTTCCCATTATCTACATCCCCCACCAGGGATGAACCATATTGACACATAATACCCAAAGCTCATAATTTACAGTTTGTTCTTGATGTTGTACAGTTTGAACAAAGGTGTAATGACATGGAGTCATCATTATGGTGTCACAGAGTATTTTCATTTCCCCCAAAATCGTCTGTGTTCCACCTATTTATTCATGCCTCCTTAATGCCTCCTTAATGCCTCCAAATCTTGCCTTTTCCTGAATATCATGTAGCTGAAATCATACAGCATGAATCCTTCACTTAGTATCTGCATTTCGGGTTCCTTCATGTCTTTCCCTAACTTGGTAGCTCCTTTCTTTACAGCACTGAGTCATTACATTCCATTATTTGGATGCTCCTCTAAATTCCGATCTCCCCTCTCCCCACTCCTTCTAGAACTCCACCCACACATATTTTAGACCTTCTGACACTGTCCCATAACTCCCTGA